TTACATTTTCCGCCACAGATTTGGGGAAATTGGTCCGTGCGCAAAGCATTGTGGGGATTTTAAGACCGCGGAGGGCCTGATCGGCGAGGTGAGCTGGAGGCGGGACTTGTGGAAAAGTTCTGAGTGCAGCAGGTAAGGGGAGGAAGCAGACAGTGACCATTTGAGGTGCATGGTACAGCTATATTGCACATCAAGTGGATGCTCAGCACATTACTAAGACATAAACCTAAAGTCCCAAACTAGAAGAGGTTACTTTCAAGAGTTTGAACCAATGAAACAACAATTGAGTAAACAACAATATGAAACTATTTAAGATGGTAAGATAGTACACAATACTTCTCTCCTCTTTTTGTCTCTTTCCTTTTCGTTTAACTCATTTTTGTCTTTTTATGTATTCAATTTTTCCTTTGGTATGTGTAAGTATTACTTATCTTTGTTGTAAATACTTTCAGTATCCACTGTGAAAAAATGTGAATAAAAAAAAATAATTTAGGCAGCATAATGTGCTCTTGTTGTAGTTTTTTCTGTGCATGTTAATTATATTGTTGCATGTTATGTCTTGCACCTGAAAACAAGACATTCTTTAAAATAAAAAATGTGATGTAACCAAAATGTTTATTGTAGTCCTTAGTGTGGATTTAGAAATGTTGTTCCCAGAGTTGTCCCTTAAAAATCAAATAAATCCAAAGACATCTTCACCATTTTTTTGCAGGTTATGTTAACAAGATTAAATGTACCACTAAGGCTGATTTGGGGGATTAAGTATGAGTAACTTTCTACAAACTACAGTGGCCATATGAAGCCGCATTTTGAGAAAAGAAACTCGGTATTTGAGATCCTTTTAAAAGATTTACATCCTCAAATGGGACAGAGCTGCAGACAGTGAAGGGAAATGAGAACGTATTGAGGGACAGACTAACACTATCAAGAGAAATAAAGCTGGCTGTATCTTTTAAACAGAGTCAATTCAGAAAGACTTGATAAGGATAATTGAATTATAAGCCAGCTGATATCGGTCAGCTAGTGTTTGACTGCACTATAGGAGTGTTCATATTCCATGAAAACGAAATAATGTGAAATCAACCCTAACTCACACAAGCGTCACATTTGCATTACATTCATTTGGCATTTGCTTTTATTATAATATGTATTATATTTGGAGTATTTTGGAGTTTAAGTACACTGATAGGGCAATGTCTGTCATGTGACACTTGACGCACTATAACTAACAATACAACATTCAATGGAATTTTTAGCAACATTTTACATTTGTTGATGTTTTACATTATACAGTCAAAGTACCTTCCAAATGATTCTGGTGGAAAGGAAATCCTGCTGCACACACTGAACAAACTGAAATGTTGACTTTAATTAAATGTATTATGTCACAGATTTCACATAACTGTAATAATTTAAAGCAATAATATTAAGGTTCAATGCAAACTATTCAGTTATGTGAAATTTGTTGACATAATACATTTAATAAAAGCAAACGTTTAGTTTTTTAGTGTACTTTGTGTTGCTTTCTACCACTGGAGGGGGCCAGAAACAAATCAGAAATCGAAAAATATTGGCATTAAATGTACCATAGTTGTTGGTTGTTTTGAAACCAATAAGAGGCATATACAGTAACAAAACTTTACAATCTATTCCTAAATGAAGGATATCCCATCTTGTTACGGGTTAAAAGAAAAGCCTTTGGGAGTGTTGAGCACAAACTGGGTTGTTTGCTAACACTGTGCTCATTGTATTCGATGGTGAGTGTTTCCTTTGCTCACTATGCTTGCTTTAGAGACATTGTGTTACTGTTACACCCTCCCTCCTCCTGTTGTACAAATCCTAAAACAAGCCACCAGATGGTCTCCCCCAGGAAACAGCCACTGAGGGAAAAGCAGCTAATATTAGACGTATTAGAGCGTTTCTCGAGGTGCTTCCACGGACAGATGGCATAAAAGCCTCTCTGACTCTCAGCATAATGCAATGTTACCACACAAAGCCATTCAAACAGCACTGGAAACTGTAGCACGAAGATGAGTGTAAAGAACATAACTAGAATCTCTGAATTTTTGGGCCAGATAAACAGCATGAATTTTTTTTATTGTTCACACAATCTTGTTTAAGTATGAGGATAAAGACACTTATTTTCCTGAAAGACTTGCATTGAGTTGTGTTAGAAATTAAAATCAATGTTGATATGGCGTAATTTGAATTAAATACACTATTTGATTTAAATCAGTTTTATTCTGAAAACCGGAAGTTCTCACTATTAGCTTAACATTTTTATTCTGAAAATTCGTCACTTCCGGTTAGCATTTAGCATCTGGCGGAATCATACGATTTCAAACCTTGAACCAAGGTGAAATGACATGTGATGTTGTACACTGATCACACTGGGATTCAGCCTCATTTATTGACGCTGAATAATGTGTAGCAGGGAATGTTTAAATAACCACAGACCGCCAGAATGATGCAAATTTAGCTACAGAAAAAGGCAGGAATTGCATTGGACCCGCCCCCCGACAACGCCGGCCAATAGGAGAAGGACCTCAGATGACAACAGGAAGAGCAAGCCAAGAATTGATCTCTTCTACCCCCTGACCTGAACTGACCGGGCGTTGGATGTGGAGAGCGCCTCCACTCGCACATTTCATTTTGTACACCACCGCATCTTTTGTGTAATTAAATGCTGTTAACTTTTATAAGCTTTCCCTTGACTCTTTTCAGTCTCTCCTGCCTTCAGGGTTCTAGAATTGCTTTTCAATTTGGCGTCCCTGGGTGGGCCCTGAAGCAGGATAGAGCTGAAGTAGAGGGGAAGGCTGCAAGCTAACCGAAGCATCACACCGGGGCTGCCACAAAAGGGAGGACAGGCTAGCAGACTCACTGCTGAGAGTTTTTGGCTGGGCCTAAACGAAAGGGTGAGACAGTTACCTGTTCAATTCAACAACTGTATAGTTAAAATAACTTACCATTAGGTGCAAGCGTTGGTAAGTGATCCTGTTAGATTGGATCGTGGGGGTTAAAATAAAAAATGTGGTGATTGGCGAGTGGGCGTGTGGATTGTATATAGTGTTCTATTCCATCCTCTGGTTGTACTCTTCGGCCGCCCGGCCCGATTAATGTAAATAATTCATAGTCTTAAAAGCCCCCGTTCTGGGGAGGTACGCAGACCCCTTGATCTGGTTACGCCTGGGGAAAAAAATGGGATCAAATTTGTTCCCCAAATCGTTAGTCTATAGTTGATGTGTTAAAAACGCCGGCCGGTAGTCCCTGGTTATAAAAAGTATGATTCGTGTGGAGTTTTAATTAAAGCCGAAAAAAAAGTAAAAATATTTGTGCGATGTTCTAAGCCGAAAAAAAACCGCATTGTGTACAAGAATTGGGTAAAAAAGATCAGCTTTTAAAGGTCAGCAATCTTAAAAGACAATTAGAAAGCTAGAAAATACAAAAATGAACGGATTGTGTTGTTGTAATTGTCAAAGCAAAGTGTGGTTAATCTGCACCATGTGGGTGTTCCCTTCCCCAGTCCCAACAGTGAGGGTTTACTGCCTCAATACTGCAAAAAGCTAGTAGGGGCTAAAGCCAGATTTGGCATTAGCCTAGAATGGTGAAGAGTTTGAGTGAGAAATAAACAACCCTGGTAATACTGATTAAATACAACAGGGATGGTGAGATGAACGTATTGAGAAAGTAAAAAAGTTGAGCTTGTTTTGTTTTCCATGCCTTTTCAAAACACAAAAAAAGAAAAAGTCAATTTGAAACTTTTTATTTTGGGGGAAATA